TTTAATCTGCGGAGACACGGGACCCGGCTGAACACTCTGTCGCAGGATCAAGGTTGGGGAGCTGACTGCTTGGCAGAACTGGGATCTGAAACACCGGACAAATGCCAATTGCACGTTGGTCCCGGGGCAGGGCGGGAGACGAAGCAGGGGCCTATTTCATCCTGAATAGCGGTGGTTGCGTTAGAGGACCCTGAAAGGAAGGATGGGCCAGTGGGTAGGTCACTTCCCTTGGGCTTAGCAGCCTCTGGGTGAAGTCCCTGCTGTGCCACAGATTCCCTATGTGACCTTGGGTAAGTCCCTTTGTCTCTCTGCCTCGATTTCCCCATCTGTAAAGTGCCCTCCCTCACAGAGGCGTTGGGATGCTTAAATACAATGAAGAGTCAAAGGTGTTCAGGTATAACCCAGGGGGGCATATAAATATGGGGAGATGTTAAATGGTAGAAAAGGGAGGGGTGGTTTACACAGTCTCCTCTCCCCAGTAGAAACCGCAACCTCCAGGGTGCGTGTACCAGTCTGGCAGAGCCCGCCGGAACTCCTGCTAGTTGATAATTCTCCGTTGAGATCTGTCAGTTGTTAATTCATTTCTTTTGGGCCCACATTCGTTTTGTATAGTGCTAATTCTTTCATCAGAAAGTCATGAGGTAGGATGTCAAATGCCTTCTGGAAATGTAAGTATATTATATCAAGACAGCTGCCTTTATCAACCACGCTTGGAACGGTCTCACAGAACAATAGCACGTCTGTCTGACAAGATCTAAATTCCATGAAAACTATGTTGGCTGGTATTAATTATATTTCCATCCTCCTTTCACTCTTTATTGATAGCACATTGATTAATGGAATCAGCCATTCCATTATTATGCTTGGAGTCAATGTCAAGCTATGTAAACCTTTAGTTATTCAGTTCATTCGGTTTACCCTTTATGAATATTCTGCTTCATTCAGTGGCCAATGACTTCTCATTTTTCAGTGCTGCATCACTATGCAAACCTCACGCCTCCCAGCTCACTTGTGATGTGGGCAAGTGATAAGCCCCATTTTACAAATGGGGAAACTGAGGCACGTGTGATTAAATGGGATCTGCCCAAGATCACACAGCAAGTCAGAATGACCACCATGATTTTTTCCCAAGGAATGGGCAACTTAAGGTTGCGACAGCAACATAAACATTAGTAAAAACTGAGTTAGAATTAAAAACACCTTACCACTAAAAAATATGGAATTGTTTCCAAAACTCCAAATGCTTTTACAATTCAGATGTAGAATTCTTGGGAAATGATATTTTTCCTGCAATAATTTTTTTGAGGAAAACATTTTTCCAGCAAATTTTTTAAAGGACTTTGGATTTCCATCAAAAACTCATCAAACAGTCCATTTTTAGTTTTTCAGTGAAAACAGATTTTTTTCCCCCCCACAAATATTTGCATTTTATCAAAAATCCAATTTTTGGCCAATTGTTTTTGGCCAACTTTATTCACATGCCATGTAGGAGAAATGCAGACACATGAACATGAACATTAGAATGTCCAGTTGGAACCAGAGCTCCCCCACAATGCACTGCAGCTACCAAGATACACTTGGGTCTATTCTGCTCTCATATCAGCAGAAGTATGGAGTAACTCCATTCAAGTCCTATGTAGAATTGATGTAACTGAGCTCAGATTCAAGCTCACCGTATTTGAGATGCGGAGTTACCGAAAGCCAGTTAGAAAAGAATGAAACCGCTCATTTCAGCCCAGAAAGTGCTGCCGCATCTTCAATAACTATAAGTGCTTTGCACTAAACCAGACAAACACCTTTCAAGGTCTATTGCACACCCCTCTTCAAACTGCAGAATGTTAATTATTGAATTATGTTGACATGACACAGAGAAATCGGTTTTGTATCTAATCCTCAGATGTAACAAAGACATATTTTGCTGCAGAACATCCTGTACTATGTTAAAAATATATATAAATAACTCTGCAATCTGGCCTCAATAAAGCCTAAATTAACACACTGTGCTTTCATTAGCCGTATTAGCCATGGCCCGGATAGAGCTGATTTCCTGTACAGTACCACAGTTTACAGAGTGCTAAACCCACACCAAGAAAAAGAGGTCAGAGTTAAAGCCACCATTAAAATTTGATGTTGGATTATTCCGCCTGCAAGGCACCGAAAATCTTTTCACGCAGAAAGTGTTACGCACATAGCACTACGGGAGCAGAATTATTTTCAGCCCCGACAGCGACATGCTTTATCCCGGGTGCCACGAATGGACAACATGTGCCCAAAACATTGCGAGCCAAATCAGGCCTCTTTCGCTGCCCCAAAGGCAGCATGAAGCACAAACTCCCTCTGGGTTCTTCCAGAGGACCCAGTGCCTGAACACTGAATAGGAACCCCTGGAGGGGAGGGGAGACTGCAAAGAAGTAATGGGGAAGAGGGGCGGGTCCCTGTAAGGGTGCGGACTCACCCCTGCGGTGCCCCCTACTGGTTGCTTCGGGGAATCAACTCGTCCAGCATCTGGAGCGCCCTCTACAGGCCAGTGATCCGCCTGTCCTCTTCTAGCCCCCGTGTCCCTCCCAGGACCCGGTGCCCCTATTACTGGGATGCTGCCCCCTGGCAGTACCCCACAGATCTGGGTTTCCCCTCCCTGGGGAACCCCCACCACGCCTCAGTACTAGGCCACTGCCAGTCACCAACTAGCCCCCGCTCCCTGGGGCAGACCGCAGTATAGGCCACTCATCATCGGCAAGGTTGGTTTGGACCTGCTGCCTTGGCCTACCCTCTGCAACCCCCAGTATCCCTTAGCCTTCTCCTAGGCCGCAGCCTGGGGCTTTCCAGGCTGGAGCTCCCCAGCGCCTCAGCCTTTCCCCAGCCCTGCACCACTCAGGTACTCTGTCTAGCTCCCGGCAGCCAGGCCCTTCTCTCGCTGAAGGCAGAGAGAGACTCTGGCCTGAGCGCCTGGCTCCCTGCCTTTATAGGGCCTGCTAAGTCTGATTGGGGCATGGCCCCCGCTGCAGCCACTTCCCCCAATCAGCTCAGCCTTCAGGCTGCCTGCTCCCTGGGCTATCTCAGGCCCTTCCAGGAAGGAGCAGGTGTCCACCCTGCTACGGTCCCACAGAAGGAAGAGCTGTTGCTTTTTCTCAGTACATGCTCTCAGCTGGTGGACTGGGTTGTGAAACAACTACTGGCATCAAATGAGTTAATAAAACTCTGTGCTATACCCTGTTAACCATGCAGCTGCCAACTTGCCCCACTTAAACTTGAATTCTAAATTAGCTGGAATAAAGTATTATTACAACCTGGGGGGAAGGAGGGAAGGAAAGGGGAGGTTTCACCCTGCGAACATGGTGACACCTGGGCTCTCTGTGCCACAGGAAACCCCCTGATACCTTGTTATTCTCTCAGTGTATACATGAATTTTTTGCCGGTTCTATAGACATGGAGGCTGAAGACCACAGTGAGTGCATGTCCTTCCACCAGGGCTCAGCGCTCTACTCGAAAGACCCCCGTCAAGGTCCTTGGCCCATTCAGTCCTTCCTTGGCCAACAGATGGGCCACGTTTCCAGAGTGGGTTTTATAACAGGTGCTGCAACTAGGGCTGGTTGAAAAATGTTCATCAAAACTGTTTTTTAACAGAAAATTGGCTTTTCAGCTAAACAAGATTTGTCATGAAAAGTGTCTGCCTTCTTTGAAAATGTTGTGAGTTTTTTTTTGTCAGAAACCCAACATAGCTGTATTTAGATAAGGTGTCGTGGTGCCTCATGGGAGCTGTAGTTCAGCTGCCTCATGTCCTCATTCTCCTTCATGAGCCAGGTTCCATGGTCGGACTACATCTCCCATGATGCACCATATCCAGGGACTCCCAAGATACAACTGCCTCTTCTCACCATGAGGGGACACCATGTTGCATCATGGGAAATGTAGTCTGACCAAGGAGCCTGCCTTATAGAGGGGAATGGGAGCATGAGGCAAGTGAACTACAACTCCCATGAGGCAATTGCAGCAGAATTTCCTAATGGAAATATTTTGGTATTCGTGCACACACACACACACACACACCATTTTCCAACCAGCTCTAAACATAACCAAACAACTCATTATACATAAGACAGCAGGAAGCTCTCATTTATTGTCACAACTTTTGGTTCCTTCTCACCAGGGATGGAGCTGAACCACCCAACTGAGACTGAAAGTCTCTGCTGCCTCTCTCCGATTCCAAGTCCACCCAGGCCCACTTACTATAATCCACTTTGCATCGGAGTCTGAAACGCAGGTATCCCCAGACAGACTTCGACCCAGGATAGGGCAAGCATTTCCCCAGTCACACCTATGTTCAAGCTAGTCCAGTTCCTGGGTTTGCCTTCACTAGAGAAAGAGGTGTGTTTCTACAATGAGATAAGCTCTTGCACGTTAGCTTTCTTGCTGTAAAACCCGAGTGGAAACCGTGATGTAGGGGTAGTTGCTGATTGAGATAAAGGATGGAGGGGGAGGGTTTAAGGCAGGTGCTTCCACACTGCGGTACATGTACCACTGGTGGTACACGAGCTTGATGTTCCATCCGTTTGCTTCACAACAAGTTTTTAAGAAGGTGGTACATGAACCGGTGCAGTTTAGGAGCCAGTGGTGTAGGGTTTAACCACAGCCAGCTACAGCAAGGTAACACTTCCCCGTGCCTCGTCTCCACTAAGAGCTTGCAACCCTGTGGCTATTTCAAGTTAGCTATATCGTAAGAGAGACCCCTTTTTTATTTAGCGAAGAAACAGGCTCTGACAGTGGCCAGCAATGACTGCTTCAGAGCAAGAAAGCTTCCAGTGTGTTAGGGGATAATGGGATGCAGCAAGCAGCTGGGAATGGGATGCAGCGAGCAGCCAGCAATAAATCCCCTAGCCCACCATCCCCCCAGCTCTGCAGGGTTCAGTCCCTTTGCTCTGTCGCCCAAGGGGGGCTGCGGGTGGGAACTCCATGCAGTTAACTTTGGGATCTCTGTTAACCCTCTCCCCTGTCTCTCCCAGGTCTCCAGTGCAATGCCTCAATAGACCTGATCGGTACATGCTGGCCCCGGAGTGCTGTGGGGCAGCTGGTGGCCCACCCTTGCCCCGAATACTTGTTCGGAGTCCGATACAACACCACAAGTAAGGCACGTGGGTCTGACGGGGCGGGGGAGGGAATAGGAAGGGGGCGGCAGCACCAGGGTCACTGACCCCCAGAGATGAGTTTGGCATCGGTTGCACACACAGGGCTATGACAGGGCAATGGGGCAAAAGGAAAACCCCATTCATGGTTCCCAAAGAGCTTCTGCTTCATTTGCAGTTGACATGGGCACTTGCCCAGCACATGAACAGTGGGGCCTCACCCTGGGCTGAGCCCAGTGACAGTAGTTCAGTCAGATGTTTCAGGCCATCTGATGGGTGCTGTAGGGGTGAGGAGAGAACCCAGTCACCCCGTGTTTGGTACCACATGGGAACGTTGCCAGACTGTCTCAGACCCAAGGCCTGCCTAGTCCAGTACCCTGTCTCTGGCAGATGCTTCAGGGGAAGGTGCAAGAAAGCCTGCAGTGGGTAGGTGTGCCCCCCACATTAGGTTTCATCCTGGTATCTAATAGTCAGTGATTGGCTTAAACCTTGGAACATGAGGTTTAATATCCCTTCCCAATTATTGTTAGCATTAAATATGGTCATTCTGGGGAGCTTTGTTACCATGTAAACGCCCAATCCTTTTTGGATTGTACTAAGATTTTGGCCTCAGCAGCATCCTGTGGCAGTGAGTTCCACAGGCTAATCTTCTGATGTGGAAACATATTTCCTTCGACCTGTTTTGAATTTGCCACCTTTCAATTACATTGACTGTTCCCTTGTCCTTGGGTGAGGAGACCGGGAGAACAGAAGCACCCAGTTCTACTTTCGCTAGCCCATTCATCCCCTTTGGGTAAACAATGGGCCTCCACGTTCTGGCACTTGGCCAGTGCTAGCCATTGCTGGGCACTGGGCAAGAGGCTTAGAGTCAGAGAGTTTAAGGCCAGAAGGGACCACCAGATCATCTAGTCTGATCTCCTGCAAAGCACAGGCCACCAGCACCACCCAGCACTGGCACACTAAACCCAACAACCAAAATGAGACCAAAATATTACAGCCCACCGGAATGGCTTTTGGGGGCAGGATGGCATGGCAGTGGCAATGCTTCCAATAGTCCTAGCCAACAGGGCAACTTCTGTTGCATGGGATGAACTGCTATATAGCCCTTTCCATCCATTGATCTCAAAGCACTTGACAAAGGAGTGTAGCAGCATTATCCCCATTTTACAGATGGGGAAACTGAGTCCTTCCTCCTAACCCATCCCCTTTCTGGGGTGCCATTCACTCTCAGGTGCTTCTGCAGGAGTGGCTCCCCAGAAAGGGGACAGGTTCGGAGGAAGGACTCAGTTTCCCCATCTGTAAAATGGGGTTAATGCTGCTACCCTCCTTTGGGAGGCTGACACTCTGATGCACTACAGCTCACTTGGAGAGAGGAAGGATGGTTCTGGGGTTAGAACACTGAGTCCCTGCTCTACTACAGACTGCTCTTGTGACCTTGGGCAAGTCACTTAGTCTCTCTGTGCCTCGGGTCCCCTTGTGTAAAATGGAGACAGGAGCACTGTCCTACTTCACAGCGGGGTCATGAGGGGTTAAAGATTGTGTGGTGTTCAGATATCATGGTGGAGGGAAATAAGCACTGTCGGCCCATATCAATGTGCTTGGGAGAAAGAATAGTAGGTTATTATCTAAAGTGCCCAGATCAGCCTCAGGAGTAAATATGTGGGTAGAAAGCGGGTCTGTCCCCCTGTTTTTAGGAATGGTCACGTCCTTCCACCAAGAAAAGGAAAGTGCAAATTTCCAAGCTCCCTCGGACATAAGGGCCCTGAAGGGAATTGTTTTCTGCTTATTCTTGTTCATGGCATTTTAACGAAAATGGCTGATGACGTTTTGCTGAGAGCCAGAGATTGGGAGAGAGGGGGGTGGGGGAAACCTCAAGTCTGGTTAATGGCTCAGGCACAGAGAAGGGTATCTTTTTCCCCCTCAAAAGTGGTGATAATTATCAACCAAAAAAAAAAATCCATCCGAAACATGAATTATCCCCGGCTCTCCCAGGGAACAGGATAATGGGTTTATATTTCGTTACTGTTCTTAAGCTGCTGATTATCGTGATTGTCCGCATGGCGTTATATTTAATGATTTAATGATGAAGCCACCTTTGTGATGTTAGCTAGTTGTCATGGGGACTTTCCGGCCATGCTTCTTTGCAAGGCCGCGTAGATTTGTTTGTTTGATCTCTGGGGTGACTTCATTGTTGGGAAGGTAGCTTTGCTCAGTGAAATTGAGCCAGGTTTATTTTCCTCCTGCCTGGCTCCGCTTTGATGTCTTCATTGTTTGGTAAAGCATATTACATTGCCTCACTGGTGGCTTTGCAAGCCGGCGCCGCTAGCCAGCGTCTTCAGTTTATTAGGAGGAGAGGTGGGCTCACGGACAAAGATGTAAGGGATGCTGGTCACATTTTCCTATCGCGTTCATGTCCTTTGGGTTCCCATTTCCTTACAATTTATACTAGGTGAGGCTAAGTCTTGGTAATTTCAGAGCTATCTATTTATCGGAGGTCCCCATTATCTTAGCATCAGAGCCGCATACAGTCTTCATCCTCACAACTCCCCCGTGAGGTCGGGCAGTGCTCTTATACCCATTTTACAGATGGAAAAGAGAGGCTTCAAAGGTATTGAGATTCGTAGTTAACAATGGCAGGCTGAAGTTGGGAACCTGGGTCTACCCAAGTCTGGGGCTGGAGCCTTGACCAGCCTTCCACATACCCGGCGTTTGGAAATTTCTTCCACACGTTGAGCCTCTTGGGTCTGCGGAGCAGGGATGGGAATCTTCCATGAGGTTTGCAACTTCTGCTCAGGTGAGGAGGCCACGGGATCTCCCAGCGCCGCCGCCTCTTCTGTGATGCCTTTGAAAAAGAAGGCAGCCAAGTGAGACGCGCGTATTCAAAAAGTGATCTCCTGTCTGCTGTGAGTCTGGCTAGCACATTGTACGTCAGCCTGTGTTAGACCCCGATCCAGCAAACACGAGTCGCCCCTCCTGAATCATATGATCCCATGGACGTAGATTCTAAGGCAAAAACGGACCAGTCCGATCAACCAGTCTGACCTCCTGTATAACACAAGCCAAGGAACTGCCCCAAAATAATTCCTAGAGCAGATCTGACCTCGCTAGCACTCCTTGCCTTGGGCCAGGGCTGCCAGGTCAGGCCCGTAGAATGTGACTAGGACTTGTGGGAAATATTCTGGCTAAACTATTTTTCGATGGAGAGTCAGGTGTTTGGCTAACTGACGCCCTTTCACCACAAGGAAGTGCTTTCCACAGAAAATCCCCAAATCTCATCGCAAATTGAAAAATTGAAGTGTTTCAGCCCGTGGAACATTTTCTTATCTTTGATTTTTGGAGGAAAAGGCCACATTTTCCATGGAGGGCGGGGGGAAGAGTCCATTTCTTCACCAGCTCTAAATGTGAGCGGTTAGAGAGCGCTCCTAAATCAGTTAGGCCTTGCAGTGGGGCTAAGGGCCTGTCCACACAGTCTGCAGCAGCAAGCCTCCCAGCCCAGATAGACAGACTTGGGCTTGCACTGAAAATAGCTGTGTAAACATAGAATATCAGGGTTGGAAGGGACCTCAGTAGGTCATCTAATCCAACCCCCTGCTCAAAGCAGGGCCAATCCCCAGACAGATTTTTGCCCCAGATTGCTAAATGGCCTCCTGAAGGATTAGACTCACAACCCTGGGTGTAGCAGGCCAATGCTCAAACCACTGAGCTATCCTGCAGCTTGGGTGCTGAAGCCTGGAGAGGGGGTGGGCTTCAGAACCTGGATTCAGCAGCTACATGGCCATTTTTACAACACTGGCACAACCCCCACCAGGCCCGGTCTGCCAGCCCAGCCTAGGAGGCTTGCTGCCGTGAGCTGTGTAGATTTATCCTACGTGACTTGCCCAAGGTGACACAAGATGTCGGTGGCAGAGGAGGGGACGGAGCCCAGGACTCCCAAGTCATAAGCTATCCCCTTAACCCCTGGCCCATCCTTCCTTCACAGGGAATCACTGTGGTTTTATTCAAACGGAAGCTTCCCCCCCAATTCCTTTCTCGCCACAGCAATACTGCCCTAACCTCGGCATTGTGTGTTGGATGTTTATTATTAGCAGTAGTGGCTAGCAGCTCTCATCATGGATCACGATCCCATTGTGCTAGGCGCTGTACAAACAGAACAAAAAGACAGCTCCTGCCCTAAAGAGCTTCCAGTGTGAGCAGCCCTTTGTCTTGCCTTGTTGAAGCCGATAGCAGGACCCGTGGCCCAGGCATCTTCTAGCTCCTCAGGGGGTGCAATCAGCGTGATGAGGAATCTGACAGCTGGTGCTTACATTCACGTACTCGCTTCCGCTCTCTCCCGCTCAGCGGCCTTCCCACACAATAGCTCCTCCGCCGCTTTGTCCTTCGCCACATCCTGGCACCTGGCACTCTCGGAAGTAATGTGCCCATCTGCCAGCGCTTTGCACACACAGCTATTGACCTGGTTCAGTTAGTGGGCATCCGGAGACCTAAGTGCCACTCCCCTCTGTGTGATTTTGGGCAAGTCACTTTGCCTTGAATCCTTTTATGGGCCCGTGAATTGGCTGTGTGTGTGTGTGTGTGTGTGTGTGTGCGTGCACACACACTCACACCACTGCAATCTACCAGGTAGAATCAGAGCTACTCAACTGTGTGTCCTAGGCCCAAAGCTGCTACTAGCAAATGAAGATTCTCCTACAGCTCAGTGTCGGGGGACCTGGGCGTTGAAAGCGGGACAGGCTGAGTCCCTAGGCCACTCTTACCACTAGGCTCTGAGTAGCCATCTTCTGCCGTGTACTGGAGCCACCAGGAAGCTCAAGGTGGCTCCAAATTTGCAGTGTTGTTTGAAACCCCCTGACCCACCCAGCCCCACTTTTTGTTTGTTTAGCTGTTTTGTGGGACTTTTAGAATTCACAATATGGTACAGACACCTTCCAAGCGTCCCACAAACCTTTACCTCTCCTAGTCTGACCTGCATAGCACAGGTCGGTACATTTCACCGGTTACCCCGTATTGAGCACAATGACTTCGATTAGACTCAAGCATTGAAGTCCTCATGAGACTAAACGGCTGTATGCCACAGGCAGAGACCAAGGTTCCACCCAGGCCCGAGGCCCCCTGCATTGGCAGGGAATTGATTAGGTGCCAATCTGTGCCCGCTGGGACATTTTTTACCGACCCCCCTCTGGTGATCAGTGTGACCCTGAGCATGTAAGCAAGACACACTAGCCAGGCACATAGGAAAGAATTCTCTGTACCTCGCGCCAATCTACTTCAGTGTTGGCCATGTCCTAAGTCCAATCCAGTTTCATGGGTTCTCTCTAGATTTTGCATCCAGTTTGGATTCCTCGTGGAGCACAGGTTGGGTGACCAGACAGCAAGTGTGAAAAATCGGGACGGGGTGGGGGGTAATAGGTGCATATATAAGAAAAAGCTCCAAATATCGGGACTGTCCCTATAAAATCAGGACATCTAACCACAGGGCTTTAGGAGCTGAGAGGCTGTTTTAGGTGTGGACTGGTCCCAGTCTTGCAAAATGTCGCATTAACTATTAACCCAGTGGGCTGTGAAACACACAGTAACATTGCACTGGCTTCTGACAATTATACCAGTACAGCATCTCTCTCTCACACACACACACACACACACACACACACAGCAAAGAGCCTCACCCCCAACTTGCAGTACTCCCTGCTATTCCAGTCCTGGGATCCCCGTGCAATTCTGCCAATACAACTCTGATCCACGGTATCTGGTTATTACAGTCCTAGACCTCTGCTGGACTGACTTCCACTCCTGTGTTGAATTATGCAGTGAACAAACCCACTCCACCATCGTTCATTAGCACTGGCGGCCTTTGTGGAGAAATGTTGCCGTTAGGGCTGTCAATTACTTGCAGTTAAAGGCACGCGATTAACGCAAAACAAATTAACTAGATTTTGAAAAACAGTCGTGATTAATGGCAGTTGTAATCGCACTGCTAAACCATAAGAGGATCCCAATTTACATTTATTATAAATGCTTTTGGATGCTTTTGGACATTTTCAAAGATATTGATTTCAATTACATCCCGGAATACAAAGTGTACAGTGTTCACTTTATGTTATTATTTTAGATTACAAATGTTTGCACTGTCAAAAGATAAACCAAAGAAATAGTATTTTTCAGTTCACCTCATACAAGTACCGTAGTGCAATCTCTTTCTCGTGAAAGTGCAACTTACAAATGTAGATTTTTTTTTGGCTACATAACTGCACTCAAAAACGAAACGATATCAAACTTTCGAGCCTACACTTGTCCTACTTCTTGTTCAACCAATCGCTAAGGCAAACAAGTTTGTTTACCTTTACGGGAGATACTGCTGCCCGCTTCTGATTTATACTGTCACCTGAACGTGAGAACGGGCATCCGCATGGCACTTTTGTCGCCGCCGTTGCAAGGTATTTCCGTGCCAGATGTGCTAAACATTCGTATGCCCCTTCCTGCTTCGACATTTGTAAGTTGCACTTTCACTTTCAATGTAGTTGCAAATGTAGAGAAACACCCACAGATACTTAGAATACATTTAAATGAGTGTTCCATTAGTGTTAAACAGTGCAATGAAAACTGCGATGAAGCACGGTTCTTTTTGTTTAATCTCGTGATGAACGGCGATTATATTTTTGAATTATTTGACAGCCCTAGTCACCAGGGCCGGCTCCAGGCACCAGCAAAGGAAGCAGGTGCTTGGGGCGGCCAAGGGGAAGGGGCGGCACGTCCAGAGTCTTCGGCGGCAATTCAGCGGCAGGTCCCTCAGTCCCTCTTGGAGTGAAGGACCCGCCGTCGAATTGCCGCCGAAGAATGAAGCGGCGCGGCTGAGCTGCCGCCGATCGGGGCTTTCTCTTTTTTTTTTCCCCCCGCCGCTTTGGGGCGGCAAAAAAGCTGGAGCTGGCCCTGCTAGTGGCCATATATTGACCAGAGGGGCAACACGAATGGTGAGTGTGATAAATTAGCCTCGGGCTTGGGGGGTTTGGGATCAGCGCTGCCTGTCGCAGCTCTATGGCATTTGAGGGCATAAATTGATCCGAGGGGAGGTGGTGTGCAGGAAGATGCTGTGAAATCATTACACCATCAATAACCCGAGGGGAGGGGGGTTTGTTTGTTTTATTTAACAAACAATCCAAGGGCTGACTGTGTCCCTGTGAATTCTCCACGGCTGGCACTGTAATGTGTGGTCTCTAAATCACATTCACAGAGCTCTCATCACTAATCTAGCCCTCCCATTTGATGCTGTGTGTGAAGTGTGCATGAGAAACAAATGGCGCGTGATCACATCTAGCGACCAGAGGCCTCCAGAGGGGGATGAAAGGACAGGTTTAGCTATGGGCACATTGATACCATGCTCATCACTGGGCTATCTAAGTGCTGCACTGCTGGGCCGGGGGGTGCCACAGGGTACCAAGGTGTTCTGTGTGCGTTCACACCAAATGGCAAAGGATTTGTGTCTTCATCCCACCGCAAAGCCGGCACCACGGAGGTGGAGGGTGGCCGGCAGGAGGAAGCTAACCACACCCCGGCGTGGGAAAGGTATCAGCTTCGTGTTTCATTCAAGAGAGGGTGCCCCCTGCTGCGGCACTCGGGCATTGGGGCCAGCGCTGAGGGGAGATCACCCCCTACTGCTCTACCCGCTCCACTGCCTGCTGCCCAGCGCCTCCTGGCTCCGCACTGGGGTTAGCACTAGCACCAAGGGGCTGAGACAAAAACCCGACGTGAGGTTTTGTCTGGTATCCCACATGGAGGACGCCATTGGCAAAAGCGCGCCGCTCCGCCTCCACCGGCGTGACCTTGAGCACACGCGTTTGAGATCATGCTGGGCAGCGCGGTGCGCTCTTCGAAATAGAGTCCTCCATGCAGCATGGCCTCACCTGCACCAGGCTCGCGAGGTCATGCCAGCGGAGGCGGGGTCACGCAGGTGGGGGCAAGCCACGCCACTCCTGGACATACCGGCCTGGCTGGTATTCTGGGCTCTGAAACCCAGGCTCCAGGCCTGTCCCAAGCAGTTAGCGCTCCAACAGGGGGAAAAGCAAAACAAGAGACTGGGCCCCAGTGTGATTGGTGATGAAGCAGCGGAGTCTGGGGGGCAAGGGAAGCTGCTGGCAATGTCCTGATGAGAGGTGGCAAGAAGAAAAAGACATCTCCGGTGAGGAGAAAACTGAAGCTTTCTTTATTCTAGTTCGTTGGTTATCGGTGACTAACGTCTGCCGTGAACAAGGGGTTATTGAAGGTAAAGTCTGACTCAGACTGGTTTATATAGCCAAGGGGGAAACCGAGGCACAGCTCGGGGCCTGGGCCTATGACAGGTCCCTTCCGACCTTGTAATCTCTGAGTCCAATTTCTCTGATAGGGCACAAAGGCCTGTTTGCTAATAATAGACCTGCCATGTCCCCCTCGCTCTGTCATTCCTCTGGTGCTAACGCTAATAGGATACTGCTTTGGGCTTGCCACGGGAGCTGTCTTCTCAGCTCGTGGTGCCTAGAGTCATCCCCGTGAAAATGAAATTTGCCGATATGCTAAGGCAGTTGCCGTTGCAGGAAATAAGGTGCCAGCTCCACATTATCACCGAGATAGCGTTAAAACAGACAGGGAATGATCGTACGGGCGAACAGCCAGTACGAAGGGAAAATTACCGCCGGCCCTTTGCTCTAGATTTGCTTTTCTTTCTTTCCTTCTTGGCTCCTGCTTTCATCCTTGTTTGCAAAGAAAGTTTTTGAAAGAACAAACATGGCATTTACTAAGGCCTGGTCTACACTACAACTTTAATTCGGATTTAGCTGCGTTAATCCGAATTAATCCTTAACCCGTCCACACAACGGAGCCAGTTACTTCGAATTAAAGGGCACTTAAAATCGATTTCTGTACTCCACCCCGACGAGCGGAGTAGCACCAAAATCGATTTTGTTAATTCGAATTAGGGGTAGTGTGGCCGCACACCACCGAATTAATGTGGTTAAAAACCGAATTAAAGTGCTTAGTGTGGCCGCGCACAATCGAATTTATACAATCTGTTTCCCAAATTCGAATTATCTAAATTCGAATTAATCTCGTAGTGTAGACGTACCCTAAGTGGCAACTGGGTTTCCATGTTGAAATAATAATAATCAAGTCAATGAGTCAGTATTCCAGAAAAAAGATCCAGTTGGCCGGGCACCATAGCAACCTGCAAAGCTCGCCCTAGCAACTTGCAAATCTCTTTTTTAAAAAGGTTTGTGCCCAGCGCCCTGCATCCTGTGCTATTAACTGTTCCCTGTGTTTGTGTCTCTTTCTTCCAGACAACGGGTACAGAGAATGCCTCATGAATGGGAGCTGGGCAGCCCGCGCCAATTATTCCCAGTGCCAGGAGATTCTCGACGAGGAGGTACGTGCCCATGGACCATTTGAACCAGGTCGTGTTTGTTCCGGAGGGTTGGAAGGAGAAAGAGGAAATCAAGTTTTAAAAGGAAGCACGTGTCTTCAAGAAGTTTTAGGGTTTGACAGTGATGAGCTTCGGTGGATGGGCGTCTTTAGGGAGAAGAGTAGCACATGTAAGGATGAGGAGACATCAGCAGGGAATCAAACCTAAGACTGCTGGATCATAACGCACAAACCTTTGCTCCCTGACCGGGTGCTGTTAGCCAGGCCCATAGCAGGGTCTTTGACTTCTCTATAAGTGACCCAGGCACCGCTACAAGGTGACAGAGTGCCACAATGTGTGAGCGTGGGTTACACACCGTGTGCATCGTGAGCCATCCATGTTCACAAGCAGCCATCTCGATGCACCGGGAGCTCTTAGGGTGACCACCTAGGGAGTAAAGGACAAGCTGCATGACCAGCATAGAACAAAGTGTATCCCAGTCCAGGGGTTTTACACGTGGCATGAAATAATCCATTGGCCGCACAGGGCATGATTCACAGCACAATTATCACTGAAATGCAGGACAGAGCGTCCCCTCTATTGACTTGATAGCAGGACAGTACGTAACAAAGCCAGGGCATCCCTTCAAATAAAGCACCCTAGGAACCATTGTCTAGGGCAGCGCGACTCAGATTGAAGCTGCAAGCGGCTCTGTAATGTGTCTCCCGCGGCTCTTTGCAGCACAGATTAAGACACTGTGTGATTGAATTATTAACCTAAGTAATTAACCAATCAGGATGCTTTTACTATGTTATTAACCAATCGTAGTGGATAAAATAGTAATACTTGGTCAATCATTTTGCTGTGAGATAGATAGATAGATAGATAGATAGATAGATAGATAGATAGATGGGATGTATGGGGATAGATAGATAGATAGATAGATAGATAGATAGATAGATAGATAGAT